CGCTTCTACATCTCTTATATTTATGAATTGAGTTATTCATGTTTAGGTTCATGTTAAGTCAGTCATATAAACATGTCATAACCTTTCACATATCACACATCACATAACTCAATCATTTAAGCAAATAATTATCTTATTATTTAAGCTTTGAATACAATCACCGCAGAGTGAGCACTCACTTTTCAAGTATTATTACACACTCTTCTCATATCTCACTACTAGGTTATGATGAACACCCACTTCTCAGCTATTACCGCTAGCTTGAAGTTAAGTTTGTTTAGCTATCAATTCTAGTAGCTCATAACTTTAGTACATACTTATCTAAGTAGTCTATCTTGTTAGTAGAGTAATTTGTTTTGAAAAATATTATTCAAAAACTACTACTTTACAAATAGTATTATTTACTCCTACATGAGCACATATGATATATAGCTCAAATAGCTTATGGCTAAAATGGCTACTCATCACCCTCATGTTTTTTACTATCAAGTTGAGAGTTAGAACCAACTAACAATTTTTTATCTTCCTCTTAGGTTCTGTGCATCTCATTAATCATTTTAGCTTATAATTAAGTTAACTAGTTTGCAACTCAATAACATTCTAGCTTTCAACTAAATTGTACATTAGAACTAACTAGCTTGATTTAGCTTATCTCGGTGTACTTGCTTAGTGTATCAATAACATTTTCCATTAAACTCTTTAGAGTTATTGAAAAATCTTCTCTTATTCAGCCCATTCACAATTATACGTGTCTTGGACATTAGTATAGATCTTTTCCCTTTGACTATTGGGAGAATTGACATAGTTGGACTAGTCAATTTTTGTTTGTTGTATTACATACACAAACTAGTCACGAATTCATATAAATTCAATAATATCACATATTAAATAAATTATGTTGTAAATTTAAATTACAATGCACATTAATATTTAACATATTATCATATAATAGTGTATTTAACATTATTTTAGTATATCTTAACTATTAGTATAATATCTACTTATTTATATCTTAGAAGCATATGATAAAATTTACGTAAGGAATGAATCTGTCTTAAGATTGTTGGTAAAATATATGCTTCATGTGACATTTAAGATATAACAAACCTTATATTAATATGTCATGAGTTAATTAAAATATGTTAAGAAATCATTAATTAAATATGCAACTCTATATTTAATTAAATATGCAAAATAAAATAATAAAATAATAATAATAAATAAAAAACCTGGACCGAGGCTAGTATTGGATACTATGTCCTTAAAACAGATTCGCCCTGCTATGGTGCTTACGGACTTAGTGGCGTCTATCTTTCAGGATACAACGGTTTACATCCACCAGTAGCAGCACTATAAATTCGTGGATACGGCGAACCTCCTTTGTGTAATACTCTCTCTGACTCAAAATTGCATCTATACTATATAAATGTTAAATTGGATGCAATCCGAACCAAATGGTTTGGACCAATCTTAATATGACTCGATGAAATTAGATTAGGGTCTAAGTGACTCGGACCACTTAACATATGGTTTGAACCCACTTGGGTTGGGTTCAAGTTTAGAGAAGGAGATAGAAGAAAATGAAAATGAACGATTTGCAAATGATCCAAAGGGGGGTATTTATAGGCAACAAGGTACCTTTTCGGCTTGGGTGCAACCCTTTGAAAAAAACTAAAAAGTAGTTTTTTTTTAAGTAAGGTGCCTTTACGGATTGGGTGTGTCTCTTCATCATTGGACACAATAATTTATATGTGTCTCTTCACACTGAACACGTCCACTCCAATTGGTTGCAATGGTTCACATGGTGTCTGTTCACCAATAGACACATCCACTCCAATTGGTTGCAATGGTTCACATGGTGTCTGTTCACCAATAGACACATCCACTCCAATAGGTTGCAATGGTTCACATGAATAGTTATGTCTATTGGTTTTGAGTTGCAACCCTTTAGAAACAGATGCAACTCTTTGAAAAACAGATGCAACCCTTTAGAAATAGATGCAACCCTTAGGAAAAAAACTAACTTTTAATTCAAATTCAAAAACTAACCACCCATTTAAATAAGCCCAGCCCAAAATTAAAGGCCTAACCCAAGATTCCATTTAATAAAAAGAATAATTGGACTTTACAATTAGGCCCAAGTCCAAGCCCAAGCCCAAGCCCAAATTTAGCTTATTTAAATTTCAATTAGTTTCAACATTTTTTTTCATGTGGGACAAACACTTCCCATATTTTGCATACCTATTTAGGCTTATCAAAATACCATACTTTAGAACTAATTTCTCATTCACCCGGAAACGGATTTGAGAAAGTAAATATATCACGTTCATCTCCTTGCGGAGAGAAACGCGTTCGTCTAGAGATCCGTAAAAAATTATTAGCGAAATTTATTCCAAACCTCATCAAAAGTTTATGTTTTTAATACCCCCGTTTCCAACAGATACATGTTGAAGAACAGCAACAAAAATTATTGTTTATGCGCTTTAATTCAAAACTTCAAAACTGGAATAACAACTTCAAATTAATTCTGGTATTAATCTATACATTAGAACGCTCGGGATTTTGGTTACAGTATAAAAAAATTTATTAGCTTTCCAACACCTCCAACTACGCTTAATTCTGAGTTAAAACGAGAGACATATGCCTGTCTTCGTAATAGCCTGCAGTGTTGAAAAATCTCCTGTGGGAAGTCATGAACTATGTTTTCAAGCTTCTATCAATGGAGTTTTAAAAACACAAAACACCATTAATAATAATATTTTTATTTTATTTATTTATTTTTTCTTCTTATTGGTACTCACACACACAGGCCTCCAATGAGGCTCGAACCCTGACCTCCTTTTGGGAAGTAAGAGTCTAGTGCCGCTAGGCCACTGGCTTGTTGTTAAAATACCATTAAATTTTCAATCATATTGTTGGAACGTATTTTAAAATATATGATTATTTTTATAAAGAATTTTAAAAGATTCAAGTAACGTAACAGTCCAACGAATACTTGTCAAATAAGATAAAAAGTTTTTTTTTTTTTTTTTTTTTCCCTAAAAAAACAATTGTTTTTTGGTGGGCCTTGAATTGAAGTAGATATTTGGTGCACTAGGCATATAAGGTCATTGATATGCCCGACCGATGAAAATTAATATAACAGCTTGTTGAGAGCATTTGACCAATTTTATAAAATGACGTATTTTCATTGGTCGAGTATATCAATGACATAGTGTGCCTGGCGCATCGTATATCTTTTGGATTTATCTTTATTAGTGCACATTGGTTGGCAATATTTTGTTCAAGAAATACACGATTTAATTAAGTAGAAGGATTTATGTCTATTCGAAACCCATGAGAAATTATTAGAGGGTCATGTACCACACTTGGTGGTGTAGTCCAATCCAAACTCTTTGGATAAAAAAGTCAGTATTAATTTTAATTAGATTGGATCACCAACAACTAATAATTTCTTGGACTCTACATCCAATTTATTTCTTTTTAATTTTGACAAGACAGGACCACCAATTGACACATGGTTCATGATCATCTAATAATATCTTGGACTCCACATCTAATTGATTCATTTATAATTTTGATTAAATTGACTCATTGAACCACCAAATAAGTGACAAATGGTCCACAACCATTTAATAAATTTCTACAACTCCACCTCATCCAATTCATTTTCTTTTTTTCTTTCTTTTTTGAGAATTTGAATTAATTCATTTAAAATTTCCATATTTTATCACAGGAAGATTCTATTCTATTCCCGTGAATACTCTCAAAAGTTTAAATCTTTATTTCTTTTTGTCTATCATATATATATATATACATGTGTTTTAAGGGGGAAAATTCTCTCCGGTTACTCTTTTACTGGAATGGTACAGTGAGGAGTAAAAAAGCTTACTTAGCGGTTGAATTAAGTTATATTTACCAAACTTCTAATAAATATATACATACAACTTCCATATACAACATATCTATTATTTAATGAATTGACTTTCATCTAAACCCAGTCGGTTGAAATTTAAATATCCTCAAAGAAAGAATGAATGAAAACCCTAAAAAGGAAGAGAGGTGGAAAAGGGGAAAAATAAATAAATAAATAAAAAGGGGAAGAACATGGAATTGTAAAAAAAAAAAAAAAAAAAAAAAGAAAAAAGAACGGGGAGTAAGATTTAGTTTGTGGTGCAAGAATTAAAGTTGTTTAATTCGACTAAATCCTATGCAACTAGGGTTCGAAAATTTTGATTTGGAGAAGTTTTAAGAATCGAGTGATATTCTAACCCTAAGAACCCATAATTATATGATTTGTTCTTCCTTGTAATTTTGTTTGAGTAACAGGTTCTTTATACATATTTTATTTTTTGTTGAATTGTTTTAAAGTGAGTTTATTTTGTATTTTAATTTCAGTTAAAAGGTAAAGTTAAATTGTATATATAATAATATACTCTGTATAATATATTGTATAAAGTATAACGTATAGAGTGGTATTTGTATATATGATAAAACAAAAGTAATTTTTTTTTCTTAACTTGTTGATTTGGCATTGACTTTGTGATGACAAGATTATGTTGGTGAGGTGACGTTAATTATCACCGTTAAATGCTTCCTGGACATAGTCAAGTGAGAAAGTAACTGGGGATGATTTTTTTCCATCCATGGGAGGTGATAAAATTGTTCTATTTAATTTATATAAATGCAAAATTGTTCTATTTAATTTATACAGTATAAATGCACTAAACTTTTAATGCAAAATGAAAGTATTATCCTTAATTTAATTCACAAGAGTCAATGTCTAAGGAGCATTTACATCAACACTCAATCCCTCTTCCTCTGCCAATCTCTGTAATAGTATATATATATGTGTATATTCTAACCATCTTTTGCTATACCTCATAATCACATAGCTGCATGTGAGTTCTTGTAATACACACACTCTATATATATATATATATATATATATATATATATATATTATGGGTGGTGTTTTTATTGGCTCGTCTGCCCTAGTAATGGTGCTAGTACTCTCTCTCATGAACCAAACACACGGAGACAGTAATGTAAGTGGACTTGGAAGCAAAGGCTGTGATTTATTCCAAGGGAGTTGGGTGTATGATGATTCTTATCCTCTCTACGACCTAACAAATTGTCCGTTCGTAGAGAAGGAGTTCGATTGCCAAGGGAACGGTCGACCAGACAAAGACTACCTAAAATACAGGTGGCAGCCCACTGGATGCGATTTGCCAAGGTACTGTACACTTTTTTTTTTTTTAATAATAAAAAAGTTACTGTACACTCGCGGTAACTCTTTCTTATTCATCTTCTCATTTAAAATATCCATCAAGTTTTGGGAGAAGTTTGGCCTTAGTTTCTCGGACCCAAAATGTTGCTGCTTATGTTGTTAGCATGCTGGCTCCTCAGCTCAGGCTCAATAATTTAGAGTGGCATTCCTTGCCTCCCAAGTTGATTGAGGCTTTGAGTTGTGATCGCCCTTCTTCTTCTTAGTCTCTGTTTCCGCCCTTCTTCTTTTTAGTCTCTGCTTCCTTTAACTTCTGAAAAAAAACATAAATAAACAAAAAATTTAGAAGCATAGGAGGCTTTGTTTGGATCATGCGATAAAAGAAAAGAAATAATAGTACTCTCTTTGTCTCAAAATACATGATGTACTTCGAAAATTTAATTATTTTTGATAGTGGAGTTTTACTAATTCTTGTATTATGTTGATAAAAGTGAAATTTCAAATATGTCCTTATTAAAAGACAAAATAATGTTCAGTAATTATTGCACTTGTTTAGTTAAAAGGATAGTTTGGAAATATATATATATATATATATATATATATATATATATATATATATATATTTTAGTTAAATGATAGTTTGGAAATGTTATAAAAATAGTACATCTAATTTTGGAATGAAACATGTTTTTTAGGACAATCTAGAATAGAAAGATGGATAAGTATTTTGGGACCGAATTAGTTATGAGAGAAAAAGAAAATCTCTCTTTATGTTTGGATAAATAGAAGACAAAAGAAAAGAAATGACAGTATTCTGTTTGGATATAATAGAGGGGAGAAAAGAAAAGAAAGTATGACAACCAAATTACCATCATATCTTTTTAAATAGATAGTATATGAGTGGAATAATAATTTCTTTTTTTCAATGGTTGAGGACCGTTTTGAAATTATGAAAATACTACTCAAACACTATCATTTATCTCCATATCTTCTCATTTTTTGAAAGACAGAGAATGAGAGATATTTATTTCCGAAAAATACTCAAATCCTCACTTGTGATGATCTATAACATAACCACCGCTGACGTGAATCAATAATAAAGACACGTCTTATTATATTACCATATCTGATTTGATTATAAATGATAATCAAATCACCATATCTGATTTGGTAAGTGAATATTTACCCACCATCTTTAATTTCATAATTAACACGTCAACAATGAGCATATTATAAATTCTCACTAATGAGGACCTAAATATTATCATTTATCCCTTGTCTATCTGTATCTTTTCTTTTTTCTCATTTTTAACTAACCAGACATGTTCTTTTCTTTTCTCTCCGTGTCCCTCCATACCTACCCCCAAATGTTCCAGGGTAAATCTAGTGTTGCTTGATTTGACACATAAAAATATATAATAGTTGTGTTTTTATTTTTTTTTACTATTATTACTCTATTATTTTTAGTTTTTTATTCTCACAGAATATTGTCACTTCGAAATATATAAACGAGATACATGAACGTAAAATCATCTATGCATTTTATAGCGGTATTCGAATTGAGTTTCACTTTCTATGTAATTGTCCTCCAATCTAGGTAAAGAAAATTGTTCAAAGATTGGCTTGTCATTACCATCGATTGATATTTGAAATTTATAGTTACCACATATATTCCTTATTCGTTCCATAGAAAACTTTAATAACCAATTGATTTTTGAAATTTATAGTTAGTGTGTGTGTATATATATATATATATATATATATATATATATATATATATATATGGGTTAAGTGTAAAAAATACCTCTAAAGTATGCTTATAGTGCATATCACACTCTTCAAATGCAAAAAATATCCCTAAAATTTTAATTTGGTGCAAATAAATCCATCTGATAAATTTAAACCCTAAGTTGACTAAATTACCCTTACTAAACTAAATTGACCGAAAAAGAACCTATTAGAGGATGGCCCTCTCGTACAAAAAATACACCTAAAGTTTCAATTTGGTGCAAATAGGTCCTTATGACAAATTTAAATCCTAAATTGATTAAATTATTCTTACTGAACCATTTTATAAAATAAATAATTTTATAAAATGACTGAAAATGACACTATTGGAGAACGCCAATAATGGACAAGTAAAGATAAAAATATAAAATAAAAATTAAAGTATAAAAGAAAAGTAAAGATAAAAATAAAAAATAAAAAAATAAATAGAATGCAAACTAAAGAAAACAAAATTTTTTCAAACTTTGAAAACAAGCATAAACTTATACTCAAAAAATAAATAAATAAAATAAAATAATAGAAAAGAATAAACTGGAATTTCAAAAAATTCAAATCATTTTTCTACAAATTCTCAAAGTTTTTTTTAAAAAATATGTTTAGAGATATATAATAGAGAAAAAAGTTAATATATATATATATATATATATATATATATATATATATAACACTCATATACTATGATATTAGTAGCATATATATCCCATTGGGCATTTTCGGAAGAGTATAAAGGTAAAACGAGTATTATAGCACTAATTTATGTAGTATTTTGCACAATGTGAAAAGATTAAAAGTATTTTTTGCACACTTTTTCAAATAGAGATAAAAATGTGACATGAAGCATACTTTAAGAGTATTTTCTGCACTTGTCCCGTATGTGTGTGTATATATATATATATATTTCTTAATTTGTTCCATACTTGAGCACATTCATTCAGATAAATAAAGTACATTGATATTAAAAATATATACTTATATACTTTTTGTAGCAAAAACCATATTTATATGATCCCACAAGCATCCTGAGCAGGCACGGGCAGTTCAGGCAGTGGGGGCGGATGCCCCAACTAGATTTTTTAAAAATTATATTATTATTTATAATTTTAGTTAAAATTTCAAAAATGCCCCCACTCAAGTTTTTTAAATGCCGCCCCTTCACATTTTTATCTCACTTATTTCTCCACTGAATTTTTTTTAATTTATATTATTACCTAAAGTTTTAGTTAAAATTTCAAAAATGTCCCCACTTCAAAAAATTTGTAAAAATATTTGTCTACAATTTTTTTTTACCCATCTCAAAAATATTCCTCTCGGTAAGTCACTGATCCTGAGTTGCATTATCTTGATGTAGGTTTGACGGTAGAGATTTCTTGATGAGTTTAAGAGGAAAACGAATTATGTTTGTAGGAGATTCCTTGAGTCTCAACCAATGGCAGTCACTCACCTGTATGCTTCACACAGCAGTACCCCAGGCTCAGCACATCGACACTAGGGTTGCCGGCCTCTCCAGCTTCACATTCCCGGTCAGAATCTCTTTGTGTGTGTGTATATATTTATATATTATATGGTCGGTTTGAAAGTGAAATTATAAATTAGTAGTGATACTTAAGTCGAAGTATAGAAAATAATTAGTTGATTGAACACTATTAATGGACGTTGCATATATATAACCCATCAATTATGTTCGGTGATACAAGTCATTTCAATTAAAAACAAATTTCTTACTAAATTTCCAAATCATCATTTAAAATTTATTTGATATGGAAATGGAAAAAAAAAAATTATACCCTATAGTAGAGAGCCAGAAATATCAAATTAAACAGAGTTTTTCTAGAAAAACATAAAAAAAAAAAAATGGCATATTGATTATCGTTTTACAATAATTTACTGTGAACATTTGGTATTAAACCTTGATACATTAACACGAATCTAATTATTAAAAAAATAACACCAATCTAATAATTAAAAGAAAAATGTAATTATGTTTTGGAGTGAATTGTGATTCTTTCAAAACAAAGTTATGATCGGCATCCAAAAAAAAAATAGAGTTACTATTGGCATGTTAATTTGAGTGCATATAAAAAGTCCACATTCTACAATGAAATGATAACCATTCATGAGAAAATTAACCTCACAAATAATAATCGGTCTTAGCCACCATCATCAACAACAAGAAATTTATATTTTATATTTTATTTAAATTTATTCATTTATTTTGGCAAGAAGGAGCTTTTTAATTAGTTTCTTGCTTATAGTAGAAGTTAGCGATGGAACATTTTTCAAGTTGAGCATAATGGGTATAAAATTTAATTTTCTTTTCTATAAATTTTTTAGTTTATCCTAAGTGTCTTTGATCGAGGACCATGCAACTTCAGATCCCAGGTTATATAATGTTGGTATATATACAGTGTTTTGGCTGAATTTGGATTGAGTTTGGGACTATTTTTTATTTTTTTATTTTTATTTTTTTATTTTTTATAACTGGACTTTGTTAACTAAGGTTTTCTTCTTCTTTCTAAAACGATCTCAATTAATAATAAAGCTTTGTCATGGTAGCTACTATTAGCTAGTATGCATCTCAGATTCTCAGCTAATTTTCACTAGAGTACATACTGTCGTTCACCATTCAATTCTAATAAAAATAAATTCTTCATATATATATATTTTTGTGTGTGTGTGTGTGTGTGTGTGTGTGTGTGTGTTATTCTATCTAATAAATACAATTCTTAATTAATTTGTGTTATATATATTCAAGGGATGATATTCCATTAATAGACCATTTTGTAAACAATTTTTTTATTCACTACTCAAATTTTATCTTGATCTTTTACACATTTGACTTTCTATCCATTGCACCAACTCTTGAACATTTTTTATATCAGTAGTTCACTATTGCTAAATACTAAAAAAACACGTGTTATTGTGTGCTAATTTTCTCACTGCCTTGATGCATTTACCATATGTAGATTTACAATGTTTCAATCATGTTCTACCGCAACGTATTTCTGGTTGACATTGTACAAGAAAATGGGAAAAGGGTTCTGAAACTTGACTCGATGGAGAGCAGCGAAATGTGGAAAGGAGTTGATGCATTGATCTTCGATACATGGCATTGGTGGCTTCACACAGGGAGGAAACAACCGTAAGAAAAATCATCATCCCTAGCTTAAACGCGCGTAGTTCGCGGTATGTTTTGTTAACTTCATTTTCTGCAATTGATAAATAAGCTAAGGTACTGCTATATATTCCAATATATGTTGCAGATGGGATTTGATTGAGGAAGGGAACGTAAAATATAAAGACATGAATCGCTTGGTTGCCTTTGAGAAAGCATTGAGAACATGGGCCAAATTGATAGACATCTTGGTGGATCCTGCAAAAACCAAAGTCTTCTTCCAGGGCGTTTCCCCTGATCATGCCAAGTCAGTCCTGCATTTATACGTGTGTGTGTGTGTGTGTGTTGTGTGTGTATTGTCATGCATGAACTATCAAAAGAAAATTATTTTCCCTCCAAATATTTCTTTTTCAGATATCCAAGCTTAAAAGTGTTTAAAAAAGTATTATTATTTTTTTTTCCTTGCTATTTCCATCTAATGAAATGGAACTTAAGAAGTGAATCATTATACATACATACATAAATACTGATCGAGTACTATTTGCCTTTGTAAATCAGTGCAAGTGACTGGGGTGAGCCGAATGTGAAGAACTGTGTGGGGCAAAAGCAGCCGCTGCACGGCCCAAAGTATCCGGGACGTCCACATCCAGCAGAAGTGGTACAAAAGGAAGTGTTGCATAGCATGTCGAACCCGGTGTATCTACTCGACATAACAACTCTTTCACAGCTGAGAAAAGATGGGCACCCCTCTATTTATGGTCGTGGAGGGCACAACGACATGGACTGCAGCCACTGGTGTCTAGCTGGTGTTCCGGATACCTGGAATCAACTTTTATCTGCAGCTCTCTTTCATAACGATTAAATCATTTTTCACATTAGATACCAAATGGAACAAATGTTCTCTCATTTGGTGACCATTTTATGTGAAGAAATTAATAAAGTTCAGTTCATTTTATATGTATCAAATGGAACACTTGTTTTCATTTGGTGATTATCTTATGTGAAGAAATTAATAAACTTTACGTTTTGTGTTTGATCGAATGTTTTTGTTTCTTAAATACCTATGGTAAAACACCAATGGACATTAGTGGAAATGGTATAATCTCTAATATTCAAAGTAAATGTTTTGCACGAATTGTAGGCACTTTATCTCTTTGCCCTTTGACCAAAAGTATGCCTAGTGTGAAAAATAAACACTATGAGAAGAGTAAAATATAGTAATTTACATGTGAATGACATTTAATTTGTTATTGCAAATGTCACGTTATTAAAGGAGCCAAGCAACAATGAACACAAATTTAAATTAAGTTTTGAACATGGAACCTGAAATCGAGTTTGTCTGATTTTGTTAACTGAGTTGAACCGATTTGAGCTTGAGTCTTCCAAAATTATAAAGAGCTTAGTCTTATTTCAGCTTTTTGAGTTCGTCATGTTCACAAGTGATGCGACACAAAGTGGTGTATCAATTATAATACCATTATCTATAGCACAAATTCAAGTAGAAAATGGCTAAGTAAAGGTTATCGATCCACGAGGATTGCTAACTTATGGCAATAAAATTCTAAGATTACTTTCAATTTTGATAGGTAACAAGTTGGTTTGACGATTGGTTTGTCACTTAGCATAAAATTAAACTTAAAATAGAATGTAAATTGAATTCAAAGATTTGAATAATAAACAGAGGAGACTAGGGAATCGAGTTCACCAAGAAGTCATAAACATGCTTCTATGCAACCAACTTGGGGAAAATAATTATATATAACCATGATGTGTAGAAATATAAAACAACTACAACATTTTTCCAGAAATTCATACAATTCAAAACCAAGCATAAACCATCTTTGGTTGGAATGGCTCATCCACCTAAACTAGATTGTGGTATTAGCCATCTTCCTTAGGCATGGCCTATCAGGGTTCTGTAATTGTAAGTTTAAGCACATGAAATCCAAGCATCTAGTATAAACTATCTTCAGTAGGCATGTACCATCTACTTAACTAAATTAATCTAATGGTGTAGCATGGTCCATTTTCCCTTAGCATAATCTATCGAAATTCTTACATATCATGCCAATAAAACCATTTCATGAATTCAATCTTGTAATACCCCGATATTTTAAAAGATTTTTTAATTGGGATTAATTACTATTATTTTATTTTTAAAAAAGTTGTTTGATTTAATTGGGATTAATTGTTTTAATTTTATTCTTAAATGATTTATTTTTATTTAATGAAGTGTTTAGATTAATTATCTTATTTTAATTAGATTATATTTCGTGATTATATTTGTTGAATTGATATGGTGTTTTGTTTTATGGAATGCTTTGATTGAATTGTTTATTTGATTTATGTGTATTTGTGCTTGTTTGAAATACTTTAATTACTTTGATATCCCTTAATTTTGTGCCCGGATTTGATCAATTCGTGTTCTGAAACTGAGGGGTATCACAATTGGTATCAGAGCACTCCAGGTTCAAGTGTCCCTAGGGTGTCTTTCGTTGTGTGACTTTCGCGTTGTGTATTTTTTTACTTAGAGCTTAAGTTTATGATTCATTGTATTCTATATTCGGTCCGTTAGTGCGTCCTAAAGTTAAATTGTATAGTCTTTTCAGCAAATGGTAGGATATCGATTTGGAAGGTATTTGAGGAAGCAAGAGCATAAGTGCTAGATCGTATACAAAATTAGTATGTAGGGAGACAATATTTATTGTGGAAACTATTTGAATGGCATAGACTATGAAGTTCGATTGTTTATGTTCACACAGTAAACATAGGTGCGAGATTAAGATAGATAATTATTGAATTGTGGGAAGTTATTACTTCTACACTCAGTATTGTTCAGGGAGGATGAAGTAGTTGTAGATATTCTCAAACGTCGACACGATACAAAATGGTTTGTCTGTTGAGAAGTTATTTGGTTGAGGTATAGTAGGAAAGTTGGTACACTTGCTATTACTCACAAGGAAACTATGGGTCAACTTGGAAATAGGGAGTTAATTTTCGGATAATTTTTATTTATTTTTACTCAGTGGAATCCGACAGGGTATGGGTTATAGGAATTGACTAATAGGTCTTCTTGATAACTTTTAAGGAAAATGATGATAATTGAGGAACTTCATTCTCAGTTCTCGATTATTCAGGAGGGCAGGAGAAAATCATGGAGTTAATGTAACCACTTCATACACTAAAGTGGATATGAGAGGGTACTTTCATGTAATAGAGTGTGGGAGTACCGACGTTGTGATGAGATTTTTATTTCCATATGGGTCATAAATGATAGTTTGACCAATATTGGTTGAGAGCATTAAATAAAGCTTTCGGAGTTGCCTGTTGGTATGGCTTTGCTTAAGGATTTGTATGGACGATATTTTAAGATTTTTCATTCCTGCATTGTTGTTTAAAAGGAGTTGAATTGTAAGTCCTACATTAATTAAGGACATACTTATGGAGATTACTCTGATTAGAGATCTGTTGTGCTTTGCTAGAATGGGCGAAATAGTTAGGTTATCATAAACTCGTATATTAGAGTACGAAAATGGGAAGCAGGTTATTACCTAAAACATTTTTTTTGTGAAGGGTATAACGTGGTTTAGCAATAAAAAGGAGGTTATTACCTCATTATGTGGGTTATTCATATTTTGTTTGATTAGGCAATTGCCTGTTGGCGATATTATTTATTTCGCGTCATGTGTGAAAAGAGTTTTTTTTAATGTATTTTGCTGCAAGAAAATATACAATGGGGACATTTATCAATGCATATAAATTGGTGAGATTAAGTTGCAAAGAAATGCAACGAGCATAGATTAGCTCAGTATATTCTTAATAAATTACGAGATATGCTGGCTAATTATAAGTATGTGTGGATGGGTTAATTTCTACACGGATAAAGGAAACATTGAAATTTGAATTAAATAACTAAAGTTTTCATTTCATGGATTCGTGAATTCAGAGGACAGAATTCCTTTTGTTAGGGGGGAAGAATGTAATACCCCGATATTTTAAAGGATTTATTAATTGGGATTAATTACTATAATCTTATTTTTAAATGATTTATTTGATTTAATTGGGATTAATTTCTTTAATTTTATTTTAAAATGATTTGTTTTATTTAATTGAGTATTTAGATTAATTATCTTATTTTAATTAGATTATATTTCGTGATTATATTTGTTGAATTGATATGGTGTTTTGCTTTATGGAATGCTTTGATTGAATTGTTTATTTAATTTGTGTGTATTTGTGTTTGTTTAAAATACTTTAATTATTTTGATATCCCTTAATTTTGTACGCGGATTTGATTAACCCGTGTTCCAAAATTGAGGAGTATCACAAATCTCATTGTCATTATGAGAAAATCAAGTGTATGATTGTGCAAATATTATTTGTAAGACAAGAATTACATATTGTGACGGCCCGAATTCTCTTAACCTGGTGCGCCAGCGAGTAACCTGAAAATTGACCCGATAACGGATCTCAAATGCGGAAGCAAAAAAAAAGAAAAGAAAAGGGAAGAGGTCTCTAGAGATGAGTACCATCTCTAAGACGTCAAAGTGACCTTCAAAGAAATCACGAGACTCAAAAAGGAAATGAAAGCGGAAGCTAAGATTGAAACGAACCAAAAACAAAGACAGGGGTAAAATGTTCAGTTTACCCTAAGAGAAGGAAATTTGACTCTTAACAAGTCAAATGGAATCAAAATAATCCAATTAGATCCTTTGGTAACCTCATATGAAGTTCTATGGTCATTGGAAGTGGAATCCCATGGAAACCATAACCTAGTTCGAGCCAAATCCCGACACTATTCTACTAAAATGATCATATCTCAGTAGGAAATGAATTTGAAAATGAGATTAGTACCATTGCAAAGCTAACTCAAAATTCTTGAATTTAATATCAAGAATCTTAAGAATCACCTAATTTGGATCTAAAATGAGCAAGTTATAACCATTTAAAGATTGGGCATCAAAGCTGCCAAGTTGTAGGAAAGATTCGGCTTAGTTGACAACTGAGTCGGCTCGGTTACCAATCGAGTCGACTCCCTTACCAACTAAGTCGACTCCTTTTGGGCTGAGAGCATGAGAAATGAAAAAAAGGAAGCCCGAATGAACCAAGTCGACTCCCTAAGGAACCAAGTTGGCTTGGTTGAAGAATAAGTCAGCCCGGTTGGCAATTGACCGACTCAAACTTGGGAACAAGGTAAAAAAAATAAAAATAAAAAATAAATAAAGAAAAAAACAACTGTTGAAGCTGTTATCTGATACAGGTTCAACGGGTTACCTAAACATGCATTCTAAATGTTTCAAAATGGTTTCTTTGGCACCCAAATATAATAAACAAGCCCCCCAAACATGAATGATCATTTGTAAGTATGTGCAACATACCTAAGTGTGCAATTTAACCAATAAAGGGCAATAAGCAAAAGATGGCTCTAAGGCCTCATTACATGTAATCCAAAGTTATACTAAAGATGATACTAAGGTGGAATTGACTGGGACTCAACTAAGAAGTTTACAAGTCCCAATTCCATTTCCCCCTTTAAAAGGGATCAAAATATAACATATTACACATTTCAAATGACGCTAAACAAGCTTCTAAATACCATACATCCATAGTTTGCAAAATGAATCAAAAAAGGTAGGCTAAACATTGCATGCATACAAAATCAAAAGCGTCCACAACACCAAGCTACATAAGAGTCTAAGTTTGATGTTCATCCAAGAAAAGAACTTATTTACCTGAAAATACAATATCCTAAGGGTTCGCACTAGGGCCAAACCCTAGCAATATCAAAGTAACAATGTCCTATGGGTTTCCAAAATCAACAATAAGATCATAACTCATACTCAAATAAACAATGCATGAAAC